TTGCAACCTGCTTGTTTCCACACTCCCCCATACTCTTCTCATCAGTTTAAAATCATAGGCTTTTCACAAGGCTTCTCAATGGGTGGGCGCAAGTGTTTACCCCCCAACCCCCAGAGAGATGTACCCCACCCCTTGCATACATACATGTTTGCCATAAAAGTTGTTTCCGTTGTCAATAAAGGGGGATTGCAATTTCCCTTGCAGTATCGTCTACCCCCCAGCAATTTCCCAAATGCCTAGAAACCATTCATTTTACCCCCCTTCTAGGCAAGATGCTACTTTGATTGGGATCCCCCCCTTAGACTTAAGAAATCTATAGCTGCCTGTATTATTAGCACTTTTCTTCCTCCCCTTCCCAATTCTTTCCCACCAGCACTGAGACAGATAATGGCTTGTTCCCATTACCTGCTGATATTACAGCCGTTGACAATGCCCAACACCTCCAGGGAACAACTCTATCTCTCTCTTTTCCTATTACAAAAAGCACGGCAATAATCTTCCCTGAGAGTCAACCCAAGAATGCGCTTACCTCCTTTAGAGGGGCATAGTACCCTTTACCTTCACTGGCCATGAAGTACATTCACCTGAAGAACAGAGAAGCGATTTCCTCCTTTCAATTTTCCCTCTTAATTTCCTTATCTATGCCCCTTTCCCATACTGTAAAAACCCTCGCATTGTAGCGGGGCTGGACTGACCTCACTGCTGGTAGCCTTTGCAACCTCCCAACTCACCCCCCTAAAGCGAGAGACGACTGCCCTCACTTGAAGCTCTTTCCCCACAACCCCAGCCACCTCCACCCCCCAGACCATTGAGGTGGCCCTTCGCCTCCTAATCTCCCCCCGGGAAAGAAAGCCCTCCTCCTTCAATTTCCCCAACCTAAATTTTTTTTAAAACACTGCAGAGCAAGCCATGCTTTGTAAACCTCCACACAAACCCCCCAAAAAGATAGGGTCTGTGACCTCACGGACGCGACCATGACGACTGTCTCGGGAGCTTTAGCCCCAGGCCCCGTGCCTGGGGCTTTTTTAAGAAAACCAAAAAAAAAACCCCTTTAAAGGGGAAGGGGGGCTTGAAGCGCCAGGGGGGTCTTTTCCAAGGGGTTGGACCCGAACTCAGTGCCCCCCATTTCCCGGGGTTTGGGAAGCCATCGGGGTTTATGGGGTCTCCCTAACTTGTTTTAATGTAATATGGTGCGAGGGAATTTTTGGCTGCATTCCCCGGGGGTTATAATTGACAGAATGCCACTGATTTAACGCTGGGTTTAAAAAAAAATGGATCCCAATGGAAAAAAATCACTGATTATTTTTGTTACCTGGCGGGTATTTATACTTTCACTGTGTAAGATAATTGTACTTTTGTGTTTTCCGTACCAAACCTAAGGGAAAGGTTTCCCTTTATGTGTAAGGGCTTTTGATTTAGGGAATTGGATCTGTGCTCCCTTCCCCGAATAAGCCTGAAGCCTTCCACATCCCCCCCCCCCCCGGGGCTGTTTAAACCCCTGGTTTTTGCGCTTCCCCCCGATTTTAAAATAATCCTGTACAAGTAAACCTACTACTTGATGCAACTCAGATGTTGATTTACATTTTTTCAAAAGGGATCAGCATTATAAACCTTGGTGATTGATACCAACATAGTGGTCTAAAGACACGTGAACAAACATTACAACTTTTTATTAAAAAACATTTTGGTCCTGGGACCTTGATCGTTTTAAAAGGAGATCGAGGTCAGGCCCGAAACGGTTTCAAATAAGTGTGTAACTTTTTAAACCAAAATCTATGAACCCCAAGGGGAAATAAGTAAGGACCCCAATAGGAATAAGTCACTAGCTTTTTGGGTTATCCTAGATAATTTACACTGTTATAATTGTAACTATATGTACCTGTGCTTAATAAGCTTATTTACTCACCACGAAATGAGAATATAAAAATACTTTTTCAAAGCTGAGGTACTGAAAAACCCTTTCGTCTTTATTCTTAAGTTCATGTGTGTGTATTTATCGATAAGCCACTGGTTGGCAAAATATCTACGGGAGTAAACCACGGGAAAACCGAGGGTTTTGAATCCAGGGCAAGCGAGGCCTTGTTATCTCCGTTCCCCAGGATCTCTATGACCATGATAGGTTTAGCACTTTCCTATGAATATAATATAGTCTGAGTATCAGAGAAGGAAAGGAATCCTTTTTTGAGGTCCCAGGGGAAAATGAAGTCACTTTGACTTTGTTGTGCAAGAACTTTTTTGGGGGTTATCCTAGGTAATTAACTTGTTAAAGTTGCAATAAAAATCACAGTAAAAAGGTGATATCACAATAATCAAATTAACCCCAATGAAAAATTAATAGTGAAATTCCCGGTGTTTTTGTAATTTTTCACATTATCAATCAATAGTAAAAATAATACTATTCCTTGATTTAAAGTGGGAAATCACAAAAGTGCTTGGAATTTCACTATATTTTTCACTGATTATTTTGCATGGGTCAACTATGTATGATAAATTTTAGTTATGTATATTTTTCACCTAAATAAACTTTTCCGTGGCAAGTGGAATATTATTATTGCATTCAGGAGGAAGTCCTAAAACCCCTGGGTTCATAAGTGCTTGGGGAATGGGGGTACAATCAAATTCATTACTAGGAGGAGGATAGCTCCAATTCCACAGATCAAGAGCCCCTTTACTGGTATCAAAGCACCCTTTAAATGGAGTGAAGGGCTCTTGATGCAAGGGTTTGAAGATGTCTGTGAGAGTAGCAGCACTTCATATGAGTATAACAATAATCTTGTTACAAATGTGTACTTTAATCACGATTAGCAACTCGGACTAATAAAATGTAAATATTTAAAGAACTGTAAAAAGTTGTTTCTGTTAATAAACTTTATGGTAACAGTTTCCTTATCCATGATTTCAGCACCTACACAATGTCAAAACTTCCAACCACCGTTAGCCGTCTTAGGTTGCCTCAAGGCTCGAAGCTGAAAGCTCCAGGATCACCCCTGAAGCGACAAGGCAGTGGTAGTGGAATTTCATCGCCGGCAAAGAGAGCCAGGCTTAGTTCATCCACCTCCAATGGTATGCATGAAGTGGTCATGGAATTGTATTATATTTACTGTTGCAGTGCAGGCTTACCTTATATCAATGGTGGGATTAGAAAATCTTAGTTTCTAATCCCACTTTAAATAAATATATTTTCTGTACTAGGCAGTGTATGTTTGTTGAATTAAGAGTTATTACAATACAGCATACAATACAGCTGGGCTCCGAGAGTAGTGAAACTCTCGAAACTCTTCAAACTCTTCAAAGGTAACTAGAATACAGGAAAAATAATTTTAAAGCACAGTACTTGCCAATTACTGTAGCTAACTGAAACCTTTCTGGCACTGATAGTCATGGAGTGAATGCTGGAGTTAATGGTTGGCTGTGATTCTGGCACATTGATTTTGATATTTGATCCAAAATGAGCAGAAAAGCATAAAAACTTTTTCATATGGTACAATAATTGACTATAGACTCAGAATAATTTCTTAGCAGCTTTACATATATACTTCACAAGTTTCACTTAGCTCCTTGCAGACAGACAGTGCAAGCTGCAGAAGAAGATAGGCCTTTGTCTATGATGATTTCACTATTTTTTTTTTTTTTTCATTTTTGTCAGATCTCCATAAAATATCCAATTAAATGTCCAGAATTGTGGTCTTCTTCCTTGGCTTAGGACCACCAGGGGATTTCTTTCTACCAGTGGATGTGTACTGCTTGGCACGATTAGTCGTTAAATAGTGTTGAAATGGGGGAGAAGTTTTGAATAACACACACAACACAAAATATTTATTCTTCCCTATTTTTTAAAAAATGAAATGAAGTCTTGGCACAAGTCTACTCTAAATAGTAGCTAGCCAGGCAGGTAGCTCACCTCATTGTTAAAACCTAACACTGCTGTATCTCTGGCCTGATTTGGGTTTTGCCACAAACATTGAACCAATAGATGAGGTACATGAATGCAAGTTGAAATCAGGGCAAGTTACCTCCCTTTTCCCTCCTGCCAGTTCTACGAGGTATTTGGAATTGGGTCAGTTTATTTTGAGGTAAGGAGGAAGGGAGGGAGGATTAAGTTATTTGTAGGCATATAGTAGATCCTGCATGAAAAATTAAGCTTTCAGCTGACCATCCAGTGTTGACTTGACAGTAAGCTATTTCCAGTCTAAGAAGTGATGTCTTAGACAACTGCGGGGTCAGTGTTTCCTGAACCATTAAGAGGTCTGTGTTATGTGATTAGTTGTACTATATATGAGGGATAGACCATGTTATTTTATGCTAATTTGCAGATTAAATACATGAAAGTAGCTTAGTCTAGATCAAGGTATGTATTTCCAGCCAATTAGCTGTACTGCTTTAAAGCAAATTCTTGCTTTGAGACATATCCAGATCTTGGAATACAGTACTGTACTGTGTCTACTTACCAGTTGATAACAGGGATCATTGTCCAATATCTGGCCTCCTCAGTGATGATCTGAGTACTGTATATTTCTTAAATTAGTTCTGTTTCTGAACAGAACCTGAAGATTCAGCACCAGAGATGCGACCACCTGCAAGGCGAGTTGCTCGACCCACTGTTACTGGTACACTTCGTAGGTAAGCTACTAGTTTGTTGCAAATCATGTGACTAATAGCCTATAATTGACTTAACAAAGTTAACTTGTATATAACCTTTGGCTTTGCTGTACATCAAAATTCTTGATGTAAATTATTTTATTTGTAGTTAATATTTTTTAATTTTTTGCAGATCAGCTTCTATGGCTAATGTATCAGTGAATGGACTAAGAGATCGGAATTCTAGCAAGAGTAACTTAGCCCAGTCAAAGATAGGAGCATCAACATTAAATTTTTCTGGCCGCCCTTCAAACATATGTGCTTCTACTGCTCTAAGGTCATCTGGTAAGTATTACAGCAGTGGTGCATGGGTAACCTCATCTCATTACACCTTTAACTCTTACTCTGTAAATTACTTTGTGTATGTTTCCAACATTTTCTTTCTTGATATTTAGCTACATGACAAAACTTCTAGTGAACTGTACTAATGGAGCAAATAATGGGAGATGACTCCACCAGTTCAAGTTATTCAAACTGCTAGAGAGACTTAAGTGGCCACTTCTCTGACAGCTCTAAAATGCAACTCACAAACTCCAATTAGCTCCTTGTTATATGTTAGGTGAATAGGTGTATACAGGGCTTCTTGCTTCAGGATCTTAATAGTGCAGTCTGTAAACTGCTTAATTGGTGCCGTTTCATTGATGTACCTCAACTCATGCCTATGCAGATGACTGCACTCTAACATTTACTTAAGCAAGAGAGGAAATGTTAGCTGCTCATTGGAACATTTTTCTTAACAAATAGAGGTAGATCAATTGAGTGAATTACAAGAGGATGTAGTAAGTCCCTCAACCATTAAAAATTTAGGTAAATTACATAATGAACAAATTATTAAAGACGGGACACCATGAGCATTGCTTTGCTCCCGTAGGTACAAATAGGTAATTACATCAATCCATTACTGTATATCAACCTGATAAAAATGATGACAGGTTATACTTGCTTCTGAGAAAACAAAAGATGGTGATGTCTATTCAACATGATGTTGCTAAAGCAACTGTAGTGAGAATTAATGGAAGAGTCATAGAGCCCAGCTGTGAAGTTGATATTCTTGGAGTGACGTGTGACTCGGCACCTCAGCCAGGTGTCACATCAGCCAGACTATGATAGCTATGTAGGCCAGCAAGTCACTAGCAGCAACAGCCTGGTTGATCTGGCAGTCAACAAGGCTAGTAAATAATGTGGTGATACCAGGAGACTGAGTTCTAAGGACACTTGTGTACAGTTCAGAACATTTATTAAAGGAAGACTTTTGCCATGAGTGGCTTCATGTCCTGGTCATTGCTGTCTTCCCATTGTGGATGAGGATATTCTTGGCTAGGAATTTGATACATAGGGTTTCTCATCAGTTATTGTTTTTTTATGTTTGTTTGGGAAATGATTATCTAATTTGTTTGGATAAGCTAAAAATATGTTGCTAAATGCTTACTTATTTCTTGTAAGCTACTGTAGATGTGTCATTAATATAATCTTTGGGGCCAGTGTGGTTACTTTATATTGGTTTGTTTTGTGTAAATTCTTGAATGGGGGGAGAGAGAGAATGGCAAGAATGAAATGGGGAGAAAAAGGGGGGAGAGGGGGGAAAGAGGAAGGGGAGAGATAAGGGGAGAAAGGGGGAGGGAGAGCTAAATTGTGGAGGGAGATAATGAGAAATAAGAGAGTAATATGAGAATAAGAGATTGAGCAATGGAATGGGAGAGAATTGAATAGAATCAATGAGAAGTATTGTTTTGAACAGATATGTAATGAGGGTAAAGAGAGAGGAGACTACAGTAAGTGTAAGAAAAGATTTTTCTTAGAAGACAGTAGCTATTTCATTAAAGAAATATTCAAAGATAGAATGAACCCCAATTTTCTGTGCCATAGATTTTTTTAAGAGCTTGAAGGTATGAGCACACATTCTCCGTGTCTCAGTATCATGGTAAGGCAGTGTGTCTACAACTAGCACTGCTAACGTCAATAATTTAGTTGCACTCCTAACATGAAGTGATTTTGTGGTATTAAATATTGAGTGGGTAGGTTGATGGAAATTATGGCTGGGAACATGGCTAGCTTCATACTCGGTGACTTTTGTGGGAAGGGACTTTATGTATTTTTATCATGTATTTAACTCTTGGAGTAGTTTAAGAGCACATGACTTTTCCTCCTTGTAATTCATGAAATAATTTAACAGTACACTGCTTGTTTCCACCATGTAGTTCATGTGGAGTACTTAACAGCTTACTGCTTGTACCCTCCTTGTAACTCAGAATAATGTAGCTGCACAATGCATATGTTCCCACTATGTAACTTTAGAATAGCAAATCAACACACTGCTTATGTTCCCACCATGTAATTTCTACATACAAAAGTGTGAAGTGCGGCTGACGTGTTCTCATACATAATTCTTACTTGATGGCATAATAGCGCTGGGTGTACTATGTTAAATTAAAATGTTGGGTTAAATGGTAGAGTATGTGGCACGTGAGTGTTGAGTGTATTGTGGTTTGTGGCTAGCCGTGCCACTCAGTGATCACTTGGCAGAGTGAAAACATATTCTCTCACACCAAATTGACCATACCATTTTTTGTGCTCTTTAAACTTTCCATGATAGGCCAGGCTGATAGAAAGTGGCCATCATATGTCTTTATATGAATGTGATAGAGAATGACTTCCTTATGGTACTAACTTGTATTATTTTTTAGTAGTAAAGTAGTAGTATATACCAAATATAAGGATTTACATACATGTAGTGTGTGTGTGTGTGTGTTTTGTGTGTGTGTGTGTGGTGTGTGTGTGTGTTGTTGTGTGTGTGTGTGTGTGTGTGTTAGTTACCATTTTGTCCTAGGCACATGTCGATTAGACACTAGGCCTGTTTGTGTGTATGTGTGTGTATTCTGTGTGTGTCTGTCTGTGTCTGCCCTGTCTGTGTGTGTCTGTGTCTGTCTGTCTGTGTGTCGTCGTCTGGGGTCTGCTGTCTGGTGTCTGTTGCTGTGTGTCTGTCTGTCTGTGTGTTCTGTTCAGTGTGTTTCTGTGTGGGGTTTCTGTGTGTGTTTCTGTGTGTTTTTTCTGTGTGTGTTTCTGTGTGTGTTTCTGTGTAGGGTGTCTGTGTGTGTGTGTCTAGCAGGGTGCACATACAAATAACCATACTCACGTTCATAGTTTACCGGAACTATAAGCACGTCATTTCAAATATTTAGAGGTTATTGACGAGTGCTCACTTAACCTTGTCCTATATCCCATTATTATTATTTATTTAATTATATCAAGGGAAGTGCTAAACCTGTAGGGGGTCATACAGTGCATGAGAGTAGAAGGTAATCAGGTTTGATCCAAGGAAACTGAGAGTAGCTCCAAATACATAATTAAACAACCATCCAAGCCCCCTCCATTTAGTTTATATCTTTATTATGCCCCTCATACCCATCCTGTGGGTGGTAGTCATAAGATTACAAAGGAACATAATGGGTCCAGGGACTGGATCCCAAAGTTATGATAGCTGAACTAGTTACAAAGGTAATGAACTCCTGGTAGATCTGGTCACAATCATGGCAAGTTACAAAGGTAATGAATCAGCCTCACTCCTACATGGTTACAGTCATGAATAAATTATAAAGTAATGAACCACTGGTACGTCCACACCTGGTCACAATTGTAATGAGTTATAAATACAAATATTAAGTGGGTCATACACCACACTAGCGTGCACGGCACATACACACGAGGGCGCACGCACAGATATGTGCACACGAGCGTACAAATATATCACGCGCGCGCACCACACACACACACACACACACACACCAAAACACACACACACACACACACACACACAAAACACACAAAACACACACACACACACAACACACACACACACCCCACACACACACACACACACACACACACGACTAGTCCCAGAGCTAAGAGGTAGTCCTACGAGGAGAGGTTAAGGGAAAATCAACCTACGACACTGGAGGACAGGAGAGATAGGGGGGACATGAATAAAGACATACAAAATACTGAGAGGAATTGACAAGGTGGACAAAGACAGGATGTTCCAGAGATTGGACACAGTAACAAGGGGACACAGTTGGAAGCTGAAGACACAGATGAATCACAGGGATGTTAGGAAGTATTTCTTCAGCCACAGAGTAGTCAGTAAGTGGAATAGTTTGGGAAGCGATGTAGTGGAGGCAGGATCCATACATAGCTTTAAGCAGAGGTATGATAAAGCTCACGGCTCAGGGAGAGTGACCTAGTAGCGATCAGTGAAGAGGGGGGCCGGAGCTCGGACTCGACCCCCGCAACCTCAACTAGGTGAGTACAACTAGGTGAGTACACACACACACACACACACACACACACAGAGCTAGCAAAGTCAGGGTATTTCTCCAGAATGGTCTGTAATATACCACTGTGGATAAAATACTTTGCCATTTCTTGAACATTTCTGAGTGAGTTGTTTCTAAATTCATTAATTTGATCACACTCCAGTACATAGACGCAGGGTGTGACAATAGTCCATCTGGCAAAGTTTACATTTCGTTTGGTCTACATCTGGTGGTGGTGATTTAACCTGCCATAGATACTTGTAACACCAGCCGGAGCCGGGCGGTAGTGACCCTCCAAGAGTCTGCTTATCTTGTTGGATGCACCATAGACATGTGGCTCCTCCTGCATGATGGAATGATGATAGATAGACTGACTTGTGTCAATCTCCCTAAGTCTTAAGTCAATAAAATTCTTTTCGTATTATTGTTCTCAAACTGCTAAAATGAAACCAGGATTGTAAATTTCCCCTCTTTTTAAAAGCATACAGCTTACCATTTTATCAGTTCTATCATGCATCTGAAGACCAATGTGAGATGGAATCCACAGCATGTCACTCTGACTCCACTGTCCAAAAATTTTACCCTACCTATGTCGCTTCTGACACAAGAAATGCCACAATTTATACTTAATGAGTTGAGAGCATTTAGGATGACAGAGAATCAGTTACAATTAAAGTGTCAACCTTAGATACATGGATGCATTTGAGTGCAAGGAGTATGGCAAACAGTTCTGTTTGAAGGGTGAGGCCCAGTTTTTGATGCGTGCTCCAATTTCTTTATGAGAGCCATCACTGTATGACAACAGCAGCACTACAGCGCACCAGTGGACTGGTGAACAGAACCATCAACGTAAATAATTTGTGAAAGAGTGTTCTGTGTGACTAAGTTATCAGTACAGCTTAAGGCATCATGTTGGCTTCAATACGAAAGCTTTGGTTGTGATTTAAGAAGAGTTTTGGGGGGAAATGGAGGAAT